CTGACTCTGACCAACAGAACCTCCTGACCCAACAGAACCTCCTGACCAACAGAACCTCCTGACCAACAGAACCTCCTGACCCTACAGAACCTCCTGACCAACAGAACTGGATTCAGACTTTTTTTCATTTTGTTTTTGTTGACATTCTAATGACCTGATGGGTTTTGTTGTTGTTTACTTCAGGTTCTGTTGGAAGAACTGCAGAACCTGGACTGATCTCTGACTGATCTGTTTGTCCTCCTGGTGAGCTGCTGGATCCAGTTCAGTTGATTCCTGTAGCTCCAACAAACGTCGTCTCAGGCTCTGAAAACATTCACAGACTTTATAAAAGACATTTATTAAAAGTTCTGTATCTGAGGAAGCAGCAGGTTGTGTTGAATCTTCACTTCATCACAGTCTCTCGTTCTGAGCAAACACAGAGGAGACAGTGGGAAGAAAAACTCCTTTTAACAGGAAGAAACCTCCAACAGAACCAGACTAAAAAAAAGTATTTATTTAGAAAAATTTCATTCCTAAGGTGCTCAGGTCCAAAAACCAAACCCTCAGTCTTGTCTGTTCAACAGGAGAAAATTAAGGGTCATCCAGGTTTTTATGTCTTTAAGACATGCTTGTAGTCTAAGTAGCTGATTGGATTCATTGGGTTTAATGGACAAATATAATTGTGTGTCATCAGCATAACAATGAAAATTTATCCCATGCTGTTTAATAACTTTACCTAATGGAAGCATATATAAAGTAAAGAGTATTGGTCCAAGCACTGAACCTTGAGGAACTCCATGACTAACTTTGGTGTATGAAGAAGATTTATTATTTACAAACTGGAATCTATCAGATGGATATGATTTAAACCATTTTAGAGCTGTTCCTGTAATTCCAACATCATATTCAAACCTCTGTAGTAAAATATTGTGATCAACTGGATCAAATGCAGCACTGAGGTCTAACAGGACCAGTAGAGACACAAGTCCATTGTCTGAGGCCATGAGAACATCATTAGTACCATACCACTTTATTTACAAAGCACTTCAAACAGCAACAAGGCCGACCAGTCATGTACAGTAGAAACAAAACACGCAAAGGACACACGATAAAACATAGATCCCCAGAGGTAAAGATGGGAACTAAATGACTAACAATATAAAATACAGACAAGTTAAACTCAACTCACACAGTGTCAACAGCCAGGGAATAAAAGTGAGTTTTTTTAAAAACAGTGAGGGAGGGGGCCTGCCCGACATGTAGTGGTAACTCAGTCCACAGTCCTGGACCTGCAACAGAGAAGGTCCTCTCTCCTCTGAGCTTACGACGGGTTCCTGGAACCAATAAAAACATCTGGTCTGCTGACCTCAGAGAGCGCTGTGGGACATATGGCTGCAGCAGATCAGCGAGCTGGGAGGGGGCAGAACTGTTCAGTGATTTAAAAACATACGGAAGGATTTTAAAATGAATTTGAAAGTGAACTGGGAGCCAGAACTGGAGTAATGAGCTCTCTATGGCCTGTACCAGTTAAAAATCGGGCTGCGGCATTTTGAACCAGTTGTAAATGTGCAATGGAGGACTGACTGATTCCAAACAGAAGTGCATTGCAGTAATGGAGCCTGGATGTTATGAAAGCGTGTATTACTGTCTCCAGGTTATTTTTGGACAATATGGGCTTCACTTTAGACCTCAGCTGGAAAAAACAAGATTTAACAATCATGTTTCCGTAACTGTTTAAGTTTCATGGAAGAGTCCGTCATCACTCTCAGATTAGTGACTACGGGGCTAGAGCGGAAAGGTTGATGCTGTGGTTCTTGATCGTGCCATTTAGAGGAAACAACATGACTTCAGTCTTCTTCTCATTAAAACTTAATAAATTAAAGTCGTCCAGTCCCTGATGTCGACCAGGCAGTCAAGAAGAGGTTGAACAGATCGTGCACGGCTGTGCCTCAGAGGGAGGTAAATTTGAGTCATCAGTGTTGAAATGAAAAGGTATGCCATGTTTATGAAAAATAGCACCTAGTGGCAGCAGGTATAAAGAAAAGAGAAGAGGACCGAGGATAGATCCCTGCGGTATCCCCGCAACAAAGAGCTGGAGATGTTGACACAGAGGGTTCTGTCAGAGGTAGGATCTAAACCGTTTGAGGGCTGACCCTGTGATGCCCACCACTGCTCCAGCCTAGAAATGAGGATCTCGTGGTCGATGGTGTCAGAAGCCGATGTGAGGTCCAGAAGGACAAGCAGCACAGAGTCACCTGCATCTGTGGGCATGGAAGTGTCATTAAAGACCTTCAATAGAGCCGTCTCAGTGAGAGACGAAGCCAGATTGGTACGCCTCTAAAACAGAGTGATCCTCCAGGCAACATTTCAACTGGGACTCATTTGTTCCAGTAGTTTTGAGACAACTGGGAGTCTGGAGACTGGTCCGAAGTTGGACACCACTGAGTGGTCAAGGCTCGGTTCTTTCAGCAGAGGATGAACTTCTTACTAACTTTCACCAGTGCTGTTTCTGTGCTATGATGAGCTCTATTCAGAACTGGACCTCGTCGGGCTCGAGGATCTGAACTGAGGTCTGGATCGGTCTTTTGACCCGTGTTTTGTTTTGGTTCTGTGCAGCTGGATCCTCTCCCGAAGGCGGTTCTGGAGCAGAGGCCCAACGCCAACGCTGTGCGCTCCCTGGAGAAAGTCATCGAGATCCACGGTGAGTTCTGACGCAGAAACAGCCGCAACACACGACGAGCGCTAACAAGCTGAACGTTCGGCTCGTTCTCGTGTGTGCAGGTCAGTTCTGGCACTCGGTGCGGCGCCACTCGACCCGACTCGGGCTGTCGCTGCTGGAGGCCAAACGAAGCGACTCGGAGGAGGCAGAGGCCGTCAGCGCCATGGCCTCGCTGTCCGTGGCCAACAGCACCGCCGTGGATCAAAGGTGAGGGCTTCAGAGTCCCAGGTGGGCCTGTCCGGGTCCAAGAGGTCCACCCAGGTTTTATGAAGGTGTCGATGCTGTCCCTGGATCACGTAGTTTAGCTCGAGCTGTTTCTCAAAGTGAAGCCTCTTTTTAACTTCTCATGTTTAGTTCATAAAACGCTGCAGAACCATAAAAATGACTGGGTGGGTCCATCAGAACCTCCAGCCGCTCCCGGGTCAAGAACTTTAAAGATCTGATGTGGTTTTCATGCAGTGCCTGTTGGTTTGAGGCTTATTTTTCAGTCTGTTTCTGCCTGCCTCTTAGGGAGGTGACAGACAGGTGTGTCAGACAGACAGGTGCATCAGACAGACTGGTGTGTCAGACAGACAGGTGTGTCAGACAGACAGGTGTGTCAGAGAGACAGGTGTGTCAGACAGACAGGTGCATCAGACAGACAGGTTGTCAGAAACAGGTGTGTCGGACAGACAGGTGT